ATGTAAAAACCCCTTAGAAGATACCTTACTACAAAGATCACTAAAAATAACAAAATCAAATAGCTAACGTACTATGTGCCTCTCACTGAACTGACTTATCAGTCAATGCTCCCTTTATCTTTTAGTGTTACTGATTATTAAACTCTTTTCATTTTTTCCCCCTGCTAGAATGACAGTTCAAACTCTCCTAGGGCAAAGTTAACAAGCTTTTCTGTGGACAGTCTTCCCATTACTTATTTTGCTAGTTAAGCAAAGATTCTATCACAAAAAGCAGCACTTTGTGATTCTACACCAGCATGAGTGTGACTGGGAAGAACATATAAAGCAAATTCAGTAAAGCCTCACTTGGGGAAAAAAAAAAAAGTAAGACAAAGAGAACGTGTTCCAAGTTTCTTGGGGTCATGAAGTGGTCATTTTAAAGTAGTGTTGAAGAACATCTAAGGGAAAGAAAAAATTAGGAAATTTCAATTAAAAACATAATCTATTACTCTAATTCTACAAACAATTTCAAAACGTTATTTCAGGAAAAACACTAATATTACATTCATTCTTTCATGTTTAGACCTTTGGTTTTAGTTTAATTTCTAATTCAAAGGTTTTCCCCTCCCTGCCCTCCCCAAGATTCTCTTGTTTTAGGTGTTTGCTAAAAAATAATCAGTTACAAATTTTTTTTTAGCTTATCCTAAACTGCTATTGTAGCTAACCTTCTGCCTCAATAATGCAGAAGTATTTGTGTAATCAATAAGAATTAAACATCTAACCCAGGATATTTAGTCGCTGATTCTTAAAATACTGCTCACAACTGTTAATCTTTTAACTCAATTTTTTCTGGACTTATTCTACAGAACCAAACTATCCTATGGTTTCCTTTTCTGCTTCAATATCAGTAATCCATCTTGTTTATTTTAACTACTTTTATAATATCATTGCTATTAATAACATTGATATTTTTTAAATGTAGGAAAGTATAATAAAAATTACCCATAATCCCATAACCTTGAGAATATCACTATTAACAGTTTAATTTTTCTCTGATAAATAAACCAGAGTTTTATGGTTTGTTTTTTTTTATGTGATTAACTGTTTTAATCTGTTTTGGTATACAGGATAAGTAAATTCAGAGACTGAATAAACTGGTGAAATTTGCTAAAGACACTCACAAGATAGATTACAAAATCAAACTAAATGGAATGGAGATCCCACTTTTATTCCCAACAGCTGCAGCCTTTATATTTTCTTGGAATTTTTACATGAACACTTTTAAAAAGAAAAAGAAATGCCAAGCGTAATAACAACTATAGAAATGGAATTATATGATTAGTACTATGGAAAAGAAAATCATACAAAGACAACTGAAAATACACATGGTTCTACTTCAGTTTTTAATTAGATATGTACTTATGAGGCAGATCTGATTAAACAATGAAGTCCCTGTTTGGAAAGCAAGATTAGCTGTTTCTTATTAAAAAGCTGTCTACAACTCTAATGATATATTTAAAATATTTTTGGTTTACATGATCATATTTGAATAATTCTGTACAGCAAAGATAGAAAACACCTATAGCTGCAAGCATATTTCCATTTATATAAACTCAATCCAAAAGATTGTCCCTTATCTATAAATAGCTGACACCAGAAACACTCCTCACCACATTTCCCTGCTAATCACTAGACATTTCCCTACAATTTCCTTTTGGTAACTACTTCAGATATCAGGCTGCCTAAAACACTGACCTTTATCTCCAATTCTCACCTTATATAAATTGGCAAAGGATCTTTAAGTGTGACACAGAACAGACCGTAAATGGAGCAGAGAGGGAAAGTGTTGTAAAAGAGTGCATTAAATCTGTTAGTCTTAACCATTTTATCCAATACCCACCACCTAAAGCCTGCCCATCACCAACAAGCATCAACTAGACAAATGGATCAAGAAGGGTAGAGAGAAATCCTTATTTACCAGAGCAGAAAAATCTTATTTTTATTCTTTTTCCTCCTCCATTTTCAATTCCACTCTGAGAAATAAGGGAAAATTATATTATCCAACCCAATTCTTATTATCCACTGCTCACTCCTGTCCTTACTCTCAGTGACTGTTTTGCCTACTTCTTCATTCTACTCCACCTGTTTCCTTCCCTGCCATCTCTCCACAAAACCCCACACATCACACACACCAACACAGTTTAGCATTCCTATCCCAAGGATTGCCCCATTGCCATCAGTTTACATTCCTTTACCTAACACAAATTCTAGGGCTATTTTCTGCTTCCCATTTTCCCTGCCATCCCACCAACATTTGGAATCACCATTAAGCTTGGAGTGGGAAGAAAAAACAGTTATTCCCATAAAATACAGTGCTACTGATGAACTATCCAAATTTCAAGCAAGTATTATAATATTTTGGGGATTCAATTCAATCATATGTAAATGCAAGGCTGGTTTAGATCACTCCAAAAACTGACTGGCAAATTTCCAGGTCCCAGTGACAGGGATTCTGAGGCTGTAGGAATTTTCTAAAAAGCACCCAGAAAAGAAAGTGCTTAGTCATGTTTGGGAATCAGTGATAAATGCTAAGGTTTCTTCTAGTCAAACATTCCAAGATCCTAAGCTGGAATTTTCACTGCATCTGTTACCATCCTCTCCACTGCCCATCACCACAGAGCATCAGTTGGACAGGCATAGTGTAATACAGTGAGTGCAGTTTCCACAGGCATTGGTATTACAGTCACTGATTAAACAGGCCTTTGTAACATGACCCAGCATCTAAACACCATTTATATAATTATTTTATGGCCATAGATGACTTGCAAATGGACTTGTAAAATGTGCTTGCAGACAAGAAACAGTATTATAGCAATACGAAGACCTCAAAGGGAAATAATAAATATTATTCGTTGAGATTGTATACACATAATCAGTCTTTTCCACAGATGGCTTTTTCACAGCTTTTTGTCAAATCACACTGAAGATTTAACCTGCATGTGAGAAAATAAAGGTAGAAAGGGCATGCTCAATAGGATCTTTTACTTTGGTAGTGCACTGATGGGGCTTTGTGTATCAATGGAATAAAAGCCTAGACAAGTCTAGATCATTGGTATAATTCAGGGCATTTAAACGCTTAAAGAACAGTCTCATTCAAATGTTTACAGACTGCCAGTACTTTACCTGACCAGAAGCACACTAGACCATTCACTTATGAACTACATGCATCTATTCTAGCTCTGGTAACTTCCACCAACCAATTCTCACCATAAACAAATGTTTCCTTCGTTAATATTCAGGCTTAAAGATATGTTTCAACATGTAGCAACTAGCAAGTATAAACAGCACTTGAAGACACGATGACACACTAGTAGTGTGTTAATTTAAGTGGAACATATTCATTTATAGATAAATAATAATGAAATTATTATAAAAAGGTAAAAATGGAAACCGAATTAAATGCTAGTCATGGTTTTTCTTAAAAAAGATGTACTTGCTTAAATTTGTACAAAACAGCATGATAAATTAAAGTTGTGTCCATTTGTTTCCTTATTTCTCCAAATATAAAAATCTATAATGAATATCATTATGTAAGTGCATTCTGTGAATATCAAGAATGATGCAGTGGTTGCTATGGTAACTACTCGTTTTACTGAATAAACTGTGGGTTGGGGTTTAAAGCGGTCTTTTAAAAAACAAATATCAACATCTTCACTGCCTGATAAGTCTTTTTCTACTGCCACCTATTAAACAATAACTACAGGCCATCTTTGAGAATGACTATTTAGGCAGCTATTTAAAAAGCTAGGGTTGAATTGCCAAGGGAAGAAAACTTCGAATTTAAAGTTTGAAAAATGAAACACATACACTGTGATTAAGGAACAAGACACTTAATCTTCTATAGCAACTGAAAGTGTTTGTAAATCAAAAGTAACATGATCCTGCATGTCTGTTCCTTCACTGTTATAATTTTGCTTTTAATACTAAATTTAAGACCAACACTGTAAGACTGTCGACTTTTCAGTTTGCAATAAAGCTAAAGCGGGAGCAAGTAGAAAGTTATCCCTCATTCTGACACAAGAAATTTCTTCTGAGCATATAAAACAACTGGAAATTTTCACTGTATCTTTCAAAATAGCTTCGTAAAAAAGCCTGTATTTAAAATACCAAGGATAACTGTAGACCCTCAACTTTAAAAACTACTCAGGCAGAAGCAAAGTCTACTAGGGCTTTTTCCTTTGCTTAAGACCTTCCATAGAAGGGGTTTCCAGCGATGGCTGTCTTCACCAGCATGTGTGTTCACAGGAGGCTTGGTAGTTACACAGACTATTCAAAGCTTAACAGTATTTTGAAAACCTGTCCCATATATCTTTCTCTACCCCCGAAATAAAAACTAAAATCGAGCGTTTGAAGAATGGGAGTGCGGGGGATGGGTGGCGTCCCTCCCCCATTTAACACGGCTTAGTCCAGTGAGCTGGAAGGCCTGCTGACTTCGCAGCCCTGGAAACCAACGCGAGGACGCTCCTGCACGCCGGGCTAACCCGCGGGAATGAGGTGCTGGGAGGTGGTCCGACCCGGCAGCAAATCAAACAGGCCGGTCAATACCAAGAGGCAACGCAGGCTTCTCTCCATCTGTTTCACAAATGGATTTCACCTGCCTCCGTGCTGTCCCTTCACGTCTCCTGCCCGCCTGCCCCTCCTCCGTGAGGGCGCACAGGTTCTGAGCGTGCTGACAATCTCAGCACCCCGGCAGGGTCTGGGGGAGGAAAGGGTGGGGGCTTCGGGGCCGCCGCAGGCCCGGCCTCTCCCGAGGGGCCCTCGAGGAAGAGGGGGCGGGAGGAGCGCGCCTGCCGCCGACGTTGGCTCGGCTGAGGAGGGGGCATAAGAGCCCGGGGGAACGGCCCCAGCGGGGCTGACGTGCAGCTCCTCCAGGTCGCAATGGTGGCCCCTGGGGGAGGGGAGAGGTGACCAGGGCCTGGGGGCTCGGGCAGCCCTTCCCCCGCGCCCAGCTCGCCTTTTACCTTCCCGGTACTTCTTGCGGAGCCGCCGGTGGACGCTCTTCACCACTCCGGAGAGCTTCTCCTGCTCCAGCTTCCTCTCCTGCTCCTGGGGTGGCGGAGTGCCAGGAGGACCGGCCCCGTGCCCGCGGACAGTGCCTCGGCCGCCGGCCCCCGGCTCCATAACGCCGCCGCCGCCGCCACCGCCCCTCGGGCCCCCCGCAGACGCCGCCTGACGGAGGAGGTGTGAAGGAGGAGGCAGCAGCGGAGGCAGCGGCCGCAGGAGGCAGAGGATCCGAAGCGACGGCCTCGGGGACGGCCCATATCCAGACGCACAGATGATTGGTGGACTGTGGAGGGTTGGGCGGAAACGGAAAGGCCAAGAGCCAATGGGCGCAGAGCGCTGGCGGCTCCCCCAGTTGTTTGGGACGGCGAGCAGCTGGAGGAGGCAGGCTCGCAGGCTGCGCGGGGTGGAGCTGGTAGGCAGGATGGGCCGCCGCGCTCTGCCCGCCCCCAGGCCCGCCTGGCCTCTGTGCGCAGGCGCCGTGATGTAGCCGGGAGAGGCTCTGAGCAACGCGCTTGCGCGCCTGAGTTTGCTTAGTCTGGGCTTCGTCCTACTGCTCGGCTCTCTCATATTTTCCAGTGGTTCCATCTCCTGTGACTTATATTCAGGTGTGGTGAGGTCAGGGTCCGATACCTGAGCCACCGCTGCACCTTGTCAGGTTCCCTTTAGAAGCATGGCGCTGAAAAGCACTTTTGAGATTACTTGGTTACAGGAACTTTTAACACTTCGAGGGACCGAGGCTTAATGCTTTCATTAGCCCAGGAAAGGTCAGGCTACCACGTGCTGTTTTAATTCACGGGCTTGCAGTGCCAGTGCTGGACGAAAGACAGAAAATGTGGAAAGGAGAGGGCCAGAAAAGCAACAGAAGACTGGGGATGAGGGAAGGAATGAGAGAGAACCCACAACAGATGCCCTCAAGAACTATTACGTCAGGTGTCTCAGGAGGCTTCTGGTCTTAATAGCATCGGAGCTGGTGTGATTTTAAAGTTGTTTTGGGTGACCTGCTGTTTAATATGGTGGCTAGTCTATGCAGTGTGTGCCTGAGTGGTATTGGCAACCTATTTTGCCTCCTCTACTCCTTTCCCTTCTCTTGGAAAACTTTGGGAGTGTGGTTGTTGACTTTGTCACAGAGAGGTGGAATACTGCTCTAGAGAGAAAGGTAGATTCTGCATTAGCTCCTAGAATGGTATTGAGGCTGCCAGAGTGTCAGAGATTCAACAGGCTGAGAGCCCGTAATGAATTGTGTTACCTTGTAGTGTATGCCACCCCACTCCACATTGCAGTTGTTGGTTACTTGACGTTGTTTGGAAATCTTTGCAAAACTTCTTGATCGGTGTTTTTGAAATATGAGTTAAGCTTGCATTATGTAACTTTTACACCCCCCCCCCTTCTGAATAATGAACCCTGAAGAGCAAAGCATTGTACACACTCTCCAGACACAGGAGGAGTGGAAAGAGGAAAGTGAAGGGAGAAGTTTGGTGAAATGTAAAGACAGAAGATGTACCCCTACCTGCACAAGGAAGAGGCAGATCAAACACAGATAAATTTAAAATAACTAATTAAAATTATGAAGAGAAATTACACGGACGTGCCTAATAAATTGAGGATATGGTGGTGTTACATTTGAGAGGAAAGGGAAGATTGAAATGTACCTCTTTTGCTCTTTCCATATTATAATTTATATGGGAGGTAAAAAGAGGTGTAAATATTTGGCAGTTACAACCATAGTAAAGAGAGCATTAAATTTCCTTTGTATTGAATCGTCCTTTTTTAAAAAGGCTTCCCTGCATACTACTACTAGTAAATGAATTTTTAAGTCATTTTTTAAAGTAAAGATGTATGCTGAAGGAAATCTGGAAAATGCAAAAAGTAGTAAACAAAGTAGAAGTGCTAAGAGAGAAGATTTTAAATGTTCTCATCACAAAAAATAAATGGTAACTATATGATGGTAGGGAAGTGCTAGCTAATTTGATTGTGTAATCATTTTGCAACATATAAAAGTATCAAACACATTATATACCTTAAACTTATACAATGTTGCATGTCAATTATATCTTAATAAGGTTGGGGGAGAGAAAGAAAGTAAAAGACACCTGGAAACCCACCACTGAAAGATAACTTATTTTTCTTTGCTTGTATGTATTTATTTCAAATGGACTATTTACTGATGGCTCTATTATGTGAATAACCTATCATTTCAGTAACCAATTTCCAGCTATTGTATATTTATGTTATTTCCAGTTTTTCTGTATTCCAAATAGTGCTGCGGTAACACCCTTGTACACAGGTGTTTTTCCATTTCTTTAATTATACATTTCACCAGGGTAAATTCCTAAGAGTCGAATTTCTCAATCAAAGGGTCAAACATGTTAAAGTTTTTTAATGTGTTGCCTAATGTATTGTCCAATTACCTTTTCTTAAGAGTGGCAGCAGTTTCTGTCACTTCCAGCAGTACATGTGAATGTGTATTTCACTGCATCCCTACCAAACACAGGTATTACGATCTACAAATTCATTAATGAGATTTGTAAAATGTGTTTCTTTTTTAAGAAACATGGGAATTTTCTGCTGTTTCTTAACTGGCTATTCTGCTTGGTGTCATATTAACTTTAAATATTAATATAATAGAAAGTAACAGGAACTTATTCAAGACTAGCTATCATTTTTCAAACAAATTTGAAGAGCTCCTTACTTAAACTTGTTTTTTGATTTCACACTTTCTTCAGAAGCAACTCATTTTTTAAAAATTCTCTCTATTATTTTATATAGATGTTGGGGAAAGGGATGTTGGAATAAAACAGTATTCACTGAGCAAGACAAAACAGTCTGGGAGGAAGAGGCATTTCTAATGACTACAATAAACCCTGATAACTATTCATCCTCATTCTTCGCCTTATCTGACCAACTTTTGCACCTTTCCCCATGCACATTTGGTGTGTCATAGTAAACTTCCTATGTCACAGAACTACGCAGTATAGGAAAAATGTCTTTGGTAAGAAAAATACCTTATCCTCTTTGCAATTGTATTCTTTATATGGAAACAAATTCCTGTAGATAATGAGAAGTGTTAACCTGTAAAAAAATAAAGTACATTCTATTCTCAGAGTACAGAAAATATTAATCAGCAATAAAAAGTAAACTTTAAAAATCCACATCAAAATCTGGATGGTGGCACTGAGTAAATAAAAAGATTCTGGATGCACTTTTGCAAATTGTATTTTTCATTACTATCTTTATTGAGTAATCCTATAGAATTGAGAAGACTATATGGTAGAAACTGGGGTCCTTTGACTCATCTAAATCATTAACCATTTATCTTTATTCATCACTGAATTTTGGTATTATTTACTCCTTTTTGGGGATTAAAATCTTAAAAATAATTAGGCTTTAATGCTGTGTAAGAGAAGTATTAATATTAAACTTACGTTTATAAAACATACAATGGTGTGCATCAATAGTGCAAAAAAACTTGAACCTCATTATTGAAGATGAAGATATATTCCAAATTGGCCAATTTTTTGGTTCATGGCTATTTAGAAATAGAATTTTTATAAATTCAGTTAAAATGAGGACTGCAAAAGTGAAATCTATATTATTTTGAAAATAGTTTGTATTATTTGTATAATTTATAACCATGTATATAAAAGTGTCCATGAAGTTTAAGTACTTTTTTCCCTAGTTACCCAAATTTTTACAATGTAGATATATTATTAACTGGGCACATTATAGAGAAACTGTTGAAAAGTTTTGTTTTCATATTTCAAATCATAGAAACTTTCTTTGGAAAATGTATTTAATATTTTGATAGAAACAAATATAATGGAGAACAATGAAGCAAGAAAAATATTTTCAGTGGTACATTCTCATACAGGATGACAGATTACAACTTTCAAATTCCTCATATTTTTTGCAAATATAATTTTCTTTAAAAGTTTGTTTATAGCTATTAGTCCAATGTCTCCCCTGCAATTTTTAACATATCTGCCAATATAAAAATCTCTGAAACAACACAGATTAGCCATCTTTCCAGAGTTAACATGTAGAATGGTGTTGCGACTAGTATTAACTACAGCAAGTGACAACCATTAATTACTGCCTAACTCCAAATGCAGCTATAAAATTTGCAATATTTTTGTGATATACTAATTGAGGAAATACATTTAATTATCACAACAGGGCTAATGTAGGAAGAGATCTATATAGAAAATGGGAAGTATTCTTGCAATTGATAATGTTCTTATAATGGAGCATAGCACTGAGAGATTTTCTGTCTTTCTTTCAGTTTTGCATTAACCACCAGAGCAAGGTACTTGAATTTTCTGAGCCTTACTTTTTCTCTTTCAAATATAAAATGAAGAGGTTGGATTTGACTAGTGTTTTTCAATTTTTTTGAGCCATGACTCAGAGTAAGAAATACATTTTAAAAAAAGAAATACATTTTCCATTGGGGCGCAGGACACTTACACTACATATATATACATATATGAATATAGGCACATACATAATTAAGACAAAGTTTCACCAGCAATACTTTTCCTCACTAAGTGCAATACATGATGGAATGTTCAATTCTATTTCAGTTTTTGGAGCTGTGGAGCACACTACATGGATTTTTATGGTCCATTAATGAAGTATGGCCTAAAATTTGGAACACACTGGCACTTTAAAAGAGCCCTTTCTGCCCCCCAAATCACTGGAGTTCTGTGACTCACATTAATTTTGAGAATGCCTTTTGAGATGTTCCTTACCATGCTGTGGCTACTCAGCTCCTCATTTTTGTTTGGAGGATTCCTGCAATTACGAATGCAGGCTCAGATTAAGTGATTTAGACTCTACTAATCATATTCTCTGGAGTGAACTGTCTATTCCCAAAAGAGCAAAGCAATGTAGAAGAAACTATAGGGGATCTTTTGGTCTGTTGAAGGAGACTATGGAGGTGGGGTCTTTTCTTATCACAGCGACTGATACTAAATCTATTGCCATCATTTCAGCATCTTCCCTGTAAGCCAAGAAACAGAAGCAGTGGGATCTGACCCCACAGAGTAGTCGCAGTGTCTGCGTTAGGTGCTGATCTGGGCTGGGTGGCCTCTAAGTCTGCCTCCTTGGTCCTTCTGGATATTGTGGCCACCTAATATCCTTTATGAAAGCTTTTTCTGTTTGAATAGCTAGAGTGAGTTCTACTTTTGGCATAGAGGTGTCAAGTGAAGAGACATCTTGAAAAAAGTAGGTGACTTGGAAGCAGTTTTCACTAGCTTTTACTGTGATTTGTGGTGATCTGTTATCTGCTGGATTCCTCAGTTTCCTTAACTGCCAAATGATGATAGTTGCCATTCTTACCTTATACATTGTGTAAATAAAAGGAAATCTTACTGAATGTACACAAGTCTCCTTTTTGAATTTAATACTTTGTTACTGACTCACCATTTTTTTCTTTTTCTTTTTCTAAAAGTAGAATATGCTCCAAATTTTCACATTAGGTCTGAAATTACAAGGTTTTATAATGTCAGGCTGAAGCAACTGCCATATATTTGCTAAAGTTGACAGTATCTCTCTCAAAATATTTCTTGTAAACATTTATTAATATAAATGTTTTTTGAAAAGTCAAATTAGAATTTCCTGCCATAACATTTGTTGTTGTCATTGTTTGACAAATCTTTTATTAGAAAATATACATTGATTTTAAAAATAGAATATTTGGATATTGCAGTTTGCCCAAAAGAAGGGAAACAGCTATATCAGGTGCTCTAAGGGGTGAAACCAAATCATTCCTGCTGGTAAATATGCAATCTTGGAAAAATTATCTGTTCAAAGGAAAAATAGTTATTTTAGTAAATAGTTTTGAAGGAAACAAGTGAAAATTCATTGGGACTGGTTCAACTCAAGAAATTGAAAAAATATTAAATGTAAAATTGAGTAGCCTTTAAGTGTTTCTCTTTTTTGAGTCAATACATTCATATATTGCAAAACGGTTACTACCATAGAGTTGGCTAACATCTCTATCTTGTTACATAGTCACCATTTCTTTTTTGTAGTGGGAACATTTAAAACCTACTATCTTAGCAACATTTAAGTATATGGTACAGTGTTATTAGCTATAGTCACCATGCTGTACATTAGACCCCCAGAATTTGTTAAACTTATAACTGGAAGTGTGTACCCTTTGATCAATATCCCCCCATTTCCCTCCCACCTCCAATCACTGGTATCACTACAGTATTCTCTGTTTCTCTGAGTTTCACTTTTTAGAGTCCATATATAAGTGATATGATACATTATTTGTCTTTCTCTGTCTGACTTATTTCACTTAGCATAATACC